AAAATCGGTCATTTAGTGGGGTTTCTGGCATCAAGGGTCTTTGCTTTATTTTTTAGCAAGATTTTCACTGAAGTTTGGGCAGAGCACAGAGGTTATCTGGAGGAGAAAGGAGCAGCTCTGGATGATGGATCATTCTTGGGCCTGGAGTTCCCAGGGAAATGTTAAAACTGATTGAAATGCTCAAACTCTCTTTGTCATAGTCATGTGAGGAAAGAATTATTAGCACTGAGTGGGCATGATTAGAGGGCCTGATGGTGTTGTTGGGTAATTATTGGACTACTAATTACAAGGTTGGCAGATCAAACACTCTAGCTACTCCTAGGGAGAAAGATGAAGAAGTCTACTCCTGTAAAGATTTATAATATCAGAAACCCATACAGTGGTTCTAGGAGTCAGAACCAGTTTGCTGGCAGTGGTTGGTTAGTTGGCTGGACTGGACACATCAGAAACAATTGTGGGAGGATGGCTCAATGGGTGAGAGTCTAGGTTTAGAGGAAAATTTTTTTTCATATATATATATATGAAATATATATATAAATATATATAAATAGTTCTCATTACATTCATAGAAATGAAATCTTAAAAAGAATAATGAAATGACTTTCTGCCTTTGATATGATATATCATTGTCAGCTCTACAGTCAGCAGATACAGGAACTCTTTCTTGTGGTGGTGGTACTGGTGGTGGGATAGAAGCATTAGAAGTATTATCCTCTAGCCCAGGGAAAAATACAAGCTCTCTACCTTCACCTGAATACCCATCACCTTAGGGAAAGAGACACCCCCTTAGATTAGGGTTACATCTAGGGCAAACACACTAAGGTCAGTATTTGGGGACCACTAAATCGGTTAATCTGGAGCCCTGGGAGGGGAGTGGCTAAAAATTGGGTTGCTAACTGCATGCTCAGCAAATCAACACCACCGACCACTATGAGAAAAAAGATGAGGCTTCCTACTGTCATAACGAGTTAGTCTCAGAAGCCCGCACTCCGCCAGTTCTGTGCTCACTGTCAGACAGGGCAGTGGTGCAATGGAATTGCCTGCACAGCAGTAAGAGGTCCGCTGTTCCAGAGGGTACATGTAGCACTCTGGAGGGTGTTCCAGAGGGTACATGTAGCACGCTGTTCCAGAGGGTACATGTAGCACAAAATGACGAGAACCGGAGTTCGTTCTTATGTTTTTGAGTCAATGAGATAACCCTGTTGACTCATCTAACTTATGTTCTATTGAAAGGGGTTTCCTTCTAATTTCTTCACAAGTTGATTTTCTGCTTTTTGAAGTCTAAAAAACTTCTAGGTTTGTGCACTGATACTGAACATTTGTTCTTAGACTTTTCCTCTTTTGCCCTTTCTTATCATTGATTCAAGCAATTTATAATCATTAGGATTACTCTAAGGCAATTCAATTACTTGTTGTAAAGCAGCAGAGTAATGATTTATTTGTTCAGTCAACACAACCAAATGGATGGGCTCCTGGCAGCAGCGGTCAAGAAGTCAAATGACATCTTACATGGGTCAAATCTGCTGCCCCAACTCCTTGCCATTGAGTTAATTCTGACTCACAGTGACTCTACAGGATGGAGTGACTGCCCCCGTGGGTTTGAGACTGTAATTCTTTGTGAAAGTAGAATGCCTTGTGAGCCTTTAACATGATGAAGAGCGAGGATGTCACTTAGAGAACTAAGGTGGGCCTGACCCAAGCCATGGTCTTTTCAATCCCTTCATATGTGAAAGGTGAACACTGAATAAGGACGCCGGAAGGGTCGATGCATTTGAATGATGGTGCCGGAGAACAATATTGAAAGGACTGTGGGGTTCAAGAAGAACAAAGAGCTCTTTGTTGGCAGACCTACAGTCAGCACGCTCGCTGGAATCTATGATGGCATGGCTTCACCTCATGTCCTTTGGACAAGTTACCAGGAGAGACCATGGGTTTATAATGCGGTCATCTCATACAACCTCAATGAAGTCAAATCAGGTTCACAGGCGATTACTTCTAAATAGGGGATGTCATGTCTGGGAATTTAAAATGGATAAAACATTTAAGTATGTTTAAACTGTTTAAAAAAGTAAATTGGTTGGCATTAGTCAATGCAGACTGCAAAGCAGATGCCAGCTTTTCCCAAGCAGCCTCACTGCCTCTGAAACAGGAGTAACCTGTGATCCCTTTGTCTATTTCCAGTGAATTTTAAAAGATCATGATGTCCTTAAAACAAAATTTAATGAAACATTCTCTTTTAAATATTTCACTGTGGTTTCATAAGTGAGATAATAGTGTTCTGAAATTCACAAATAATGATTAATGTCACGATCAAATTTGGCAAATGTAAAAACACTGATTTTTATTAAAGATAGTGGATAATACTTTGTAGCAGGTACAAAGAAATAATCTATTCTTTGCCCACGTGGAGCTTTTAATTTAAACACGGAGGACAGATGACAGTTACGCAAAGGCTACTAACAACTTGAAGGACGTAACCATTTGAGATGCCTGAAGATGTCTACTGGATTACAACTCAACGTAAGGAAACCTCAAGCACTCCAATTGGACCAACAGACAGCATCATGATCAATGGAGAAAAGATGGAAGTTATCAAGGATTGAATTTTGCATGGATCCACAATCAACACTCATGGAAGCAGCAGTGAAGAAATCAGTGTATGTTATTGGGCACAGCTGCGGCCCAAGACCTCCTGCAGGAGCTGAAGGCCTGGGACCTCGGACTTCTCCTGGAGGACTAAAGTGTGCCTGACTCCAGCCATGGTATTTTCAGTCACCTCAAACGCATATGAATGTTGGTATGGTAGCGACATCATTTCATGTCAACTTGACGAATAGGTTACAGGGGTGGAGTCTAGCCTGTCAATCAAGTCACAGCCTGATTGAAGCCTCCTTGTGGGTGTGGCCTTCTCATGAAGATTCTGGGAACTTTGCCTCTCTTGATTCTGCCATCAGAAGAGGTGGGCCACTCTCTCTCTGCTTGATATTCCTGTTGATAGGCCACATGGAGCCACCCTGATGGCAGCCAGAGCCCCGGAGAGGCGTTCACTGCCATTAGACCAACCGGACTTTCCACCCACCAGCCAGTGATCTTCCTGCATTCGGCATCATTTCATGTGCTGCGTGAGTCTGAAGAAGAATTCACGGGCTAATATCGGTCTTAAGGGCTAATATCAAACTTTTGGACTTGATCTGGACCGGGTTGGGATGTCTTATTGATGCATACTGGCTTCTTGTTATAAGGTTCTCTCTCACATATATGAGTCTCTGGATTTATTTCTCTAGTCAACCTGGACTAGTCAACACAGTTGGACTTTGACTAAAGCTTTTCCACATGAGTAGGATTTTATGTTGCTTAAATTACCTTTTTATTGAAAGAGACTGGCTAGAGAATAGGACACATAAAATAATTCACATTAAAAGATGTTAATCTTTAATAAGTCAGAGTATCTAAAAAAAGGTGCTATAGAGTAATTTCTGTAGACTTTAACTTTTAAAATACAGTTAAAGAAATTCTGGGTTTTTTAGTTAGAGAGATCTTAGGAATACTAGCATTTTTGTTCTGCAAAAAAAAATGCTCACAGTGGTCCAATGTCCAATGCAGCCTGAGGAGCCAGTAAAGGAGTTCATTGCAGGAGCCCGGTAGTGGTCCACAAGGGCAGCCGTTCAAAACCACCAGCTACTCTGCGGACAGACCGGGCTTCCTCCTTCCGTGAATAATAAACAATCTTGGAAACTCACAGGGCAGTTCTACTCTGTCTGACAGGGTCGCTATGAGTCAGCATCGACTCACTGGCACCGAGTTTGTTTTGGTTTTTCACTTTAAGCGAGTCCCTGGGTGACGCACATACATAGTTAAGTTCTTGAGTACTAACTGAAATCTGTGTTTTGAAGTTCAAGTCCATCCAGGATGCCTTGGAAGAAAGACCTGTAAGGGCATGGCCCTTACAAATGCAGATCCCTTTCGACACCAGGGACCTCCAGTACTCAGAGGGACAGGCTTGGGCTGTGGATTTCTTTTACTTTGAGAGGTCAAAGCCTGCCATAACCACAGGAAGCAGGTGCCAAACCCAGAGGGGCATTTTGGGTGACCGTGGTGGGGATGCTCTCTGCTAACAGTGGCTCCACATTTCGACACTGAAGGCAGACCCAATGTGGTGGGAGCTAGAGGAAGCCAGGTTATTTACACAAAACAACTAGTTTTTAATGGGTGACTTATTTTAAAATGCTAAAAAAAAAAAGAAGTCTATAACAAACCAGAAACATTTGTCACCTACTGTAATGCATTAAGAGCTTCTAGAATGTAACCCCCCCCCCATAAGATGACTACTTAGCCTGCTACCAGTATTTCTCACTAGAATCTGCACATGGCACAAACAGCAAGGAGTGGAGTGCTTCTGTACACTGAGGATTCACGCTGGAGAGCAGAGGGAGGTAAGGTGCGCAGGCCTGAATCTGGGTCAAAACCAGAACATCTTAACTGCCATGTGAGGATGGACCGGAGGGTACCTGTAGAGCAACTTTCAAGGCTCCTAACTTATTTCATATGTTGTCAGGAGAGACCAGCCCCTGGAGAAGGACACAAAGTAGAGGCAGCGAGAAAAAGAGGAGGGTTCTCAGCGAGATGGATTGATGCAGTGGCTGCAACCATGGGCTCAAACAGCAGAACGATTTTGGGAATTGCAAAGGCCCAGGTGGTGGTCAGTTCTGTTGCGCACAGGTCACCAGGAGTCGGAACCCACCCAGAGACACCTAGGAACAACAGCTGTTCTGATCCACTTTATTGTCAACAGGACGTTCCCAAAGGAACCTGATGCATACAGAAAATCAAACTTGCCCCTATTACCAGGCAGGCGCATTCTTAAAGGAAAGCACAGCTTGATAATTTGATCTTTATAGCAACAGTAAACTGTCATGCACTAAATGAGACCATGGTAGGACGTGTGGCCCCTGGTCCTGCTCAACGGTACCTTTTCTAAAGAAACAAAGATGGACACATTGTCAACAGAAATCACAAATTTATTAACTCTTAAATATATCAGTCAGTCATTTACCATTATGGCAAGAAATATATACAGTGTCCCATGGTAAACTGCAGTGTTTCAAAATGATAGAAGAGGAGAATAAATGTGTAATTCAATTGTGGTGGAGAGAAAAAAAATCACAATTTCTTCACCTCTTAGTGTAAAAGACAAACTTGATCTAAAAAAAGTACTTCAACACCACATGCTAAGTTAATAGTGTAAAAAATAAAAACAAAACAACAAACAAACCAAAAACCACTCTACGCCTATTTTGTTTAGATACATGTCTGCCACAGACAGCTGCTTCACAAAAAGATAAGAGTAACCCAAGAGGGACAAGCATGAGGCCGCCATTCTTTCACAGGTCTCATTGGCAGGTTAACATGGCTCAATACATTTGCTGTATATATTTACTTTAAATATAGATTATTTTAAATCGTGTAATAGTGATCAGAAAAGCTTCGATCCATCGACCATACGTCACTAGCAACAATATCTAAGGTGATTAATCATTAACACAGAAAGGTGAAATGAGAGAAAGGAGGGAGAGATTGTTTCATTTTTTGCTTGGCTTCTGCTTTGAAAACCGGCTTCCAAGGATGGAGAATTACTCGTGCTAACATAATGCTGCTGACAGATGTGGTGTGCTGCAAAGCTTTTCGGGGAAGAGAGAGACTCATTACATGGGTCCCCTAAGCAAAGGTGAGATGAGAAGTACCAAGAAAACCTGGGCCATTTCTCTTTTCTTTCTTTCTGCTTCTCCACTGGAAAATCCTAGCTCCTTCCAGGGTGATCGTGGTCTCTGACACGAGGAGAGCTCAAAATGTGCACGTTGCAAAGAACAAGTACAAACCACTCATGAAAGTGGGAAACATACCCCGTCGTCTCTAACTTTCAATAACTAGCCGGTGAGGGCGAGCAGGCGGAAATTAGTGGTTTGCACAGAAACTTGCTATCCATGTGGAATTCTCCTGGCGACTGTTCCAAGCAGTAAGATATATGGCAACAGCAGGAGGAACTTACTGGCTTCTATCATGAGTTTTGAATAATTCGAATACTTCCAATGGAAGATACTGGGCGCCAAACAAGAGCTTTAACAGGATTCAACGCTCTCCAAATGCTGACAATATTTTTGTGGGTCCTGAAAATGATCAACAGTTCTAGTTTAGCCACCCCCCACAAGACCTCAATTTTTATTTTGCCTTTGCTGTATAAATGTTCCTTTTTTCTGAAACACTACTAACAGAGAAAAAGAAGAAAAAAAGTAAACAAAAGGAACAAAGAAACAGGGTAAAATGAAGAAAACAGAGCAGGGATTTGAGAAAGGAAACGAAGTTCAATTCAGCAAGCTCACCAGAACAATGTGTCTACTAAAATGATCAAACTCGCAAATGAAGCGAAATTGCCCAATTTACGTAGTTTGATCCCAAACAAAATGGCTTTAGATGTTACCAAACCTACTGCTGTGTGCTTCCACATTCATCAATGGCGTTCTGGCTCTCCCAACCCACTGTAATGGTTAACCGGCCACAGGACTGGTGTTCCCAAAAAAGAAGAAACCGTCCATTTTCAGCCAAGATCACACCAAGAAACTCAAGGTATGCTTTGGGGTTTTCTTCCCTTTTCTTTCTTTTCTTTTTCACAAAAATGAGCCAAAACCAATGAACAGCAAAGAGTTCTAAAAACTTTACATTTCTCTGACAAACTGTCATGTAGAGAGCAATAACATTTCAGTCTGTTAAAACTTGGCATAAACAGAGAAACTCAGTGAATAGATTTTACTTGGAATATTGTGGGTTTTTTTGTTTTGTTTTATTTTGTTGTTTCTGACCTTCCCCTGGTGATTTGCCAACAGTAATTGAGATTTACAGGAACATATCCATCATTGGAGTGCAAACGATGAATAGGAAGAGATATATGACAAGATGATGCATCACATGGGCATTACATGTGGGACCGTCACAGCTTCATGCACTCAGAAACATGCATGAAGAGGAGGAGAGGCCGGCCCAGGGTAGCCATCCGGGTGCCTTGACAACAGAGAATGTGGAAGTGGCACTGTTGATTTTTAGCTGGAAGGAGAAAAAGAAGGCAGAGAAGTAAATTTTGTTTTACAATTAGTCATCAAATTGCGGATAGGCTACAGTTTTATAACTCAGGTAAATGTCAGATTGAAAATACTGTGTTTGAGAGATCTTGCAGTCATTAAGAGAAAATACACAATATTAAATTGGAAAGCCAGTATTAATTATCTGTCCGTTTGTTCACACACAGCTGAGTGGTAAATAAGAGACTGGGGCCCAAGTTTCCTTCCAAGCATTCTTTTTTACTACATACGTTGATAAGTGAATATTATTGCATACTTGAAGTAAAATCAAAGTTAAGCTTACGTTTATGAGCTTTTGCCATTATTGTTCAACTCTTTACTAATATAAAGTGAGGGGACCTTTTAATCAGGGAAAAGGCCTCAAAAGAAGAGGAAACAATGATTCTTATTTAATTGGAGGCCTTTTTCTTTCATTTATTTCTGTAAACAACAGCTGAGAGCATTATTCCCTAAGAGCTTGGACAAGGTTCGGTGCTTTGAATGGAGAAGGTGTTCGTGACCACGTCACACACATATCTGACAGTCCTCCTCCAAGTTTGGAACCAAATAAAAAACCACAACAGAGGCATGGCTTTAATTACAGTCAACTTTCAATTATCCTCTAGAATCACCCGCTCTGTAGTTTTCATTTCAGCTCGACTTTCTCCTGTGACCTGCTCTCATGGCCAAACCCCATTCAGCTCAGTCAGGCACAGCAAATGACTTTACATGTTAGCTGTAGCCAAGCATGTGACGGGAACAGCAACCTCTTGAAAACCAGCAAGCACCCTAACGCGGAACCGTTCATTAGGCATGGATAACGGAGAGCTGCCTGCCTTGACCCAGACACAAGTGACTTCGGCTGGCAGAGCTCCAGGACACTGTCCCACGGGACACCCATGTGTTAACAAGCCGGTCTTCTTGGAGGTCAATGCCTTGAAGATGAGGATCGCACCACTGAGAGGGCCTGACCATGAGACTCAAGAGCTCATGCATAACCGTTATAACATTGCAAAGACCTGCAATGTTTTCCCATGAAAGTAATGCAAGCGAGATTCTCCTCGCGTGGAAGGCAAACAACCATGCATCGTTTCAGTCATTCGCTCCAACCGCAAAGCATCGGAGCAGGCAGCTACTTACTAGACCCACATGAGAATGGTTTTCAGGTCTTAGATGTTTTGCCACAAAGAGGTGTTTCCTGAGAAGTTTTCTTTCCCATTTGGAATACTGGATGTCCTATTAAGAGAAGCCCCATCTGAGCCACATGGCGTAAAATGAAGTTGTCTTAAATAGGCTCTATTCCATAAACATTTAAGGAATTTCTAGAAAAGCCTAACCCTCAAGGACTATATAAAAGTAAATCCCTTCCAAGCTACCTGGTAATTGTGTTGTAGCACTGGGGGAAACAACAACACACACACACACACATACAACAGTGGATGTCTTTGTTATCTGCTTATGCCTTTTGTTTCTTTCTTCTAAATTGTGTAGAGATTGTTCTGAACTTGACTCCTGTCCCACTCGTGTG